TATCCGTACTTCCATTCCTCCAGAAGATCATACGTGACTCCTGTTCTCAACAGCTTGTCAAGTTCGTCTCATAGTCCCGGGGCGAGCTGGGAGCAGGCGGTTTACACGACTTTAACACGACCCTGATGCCAAGTTTTGGGTCAGAGATGTCTGATGCTGAGAATTATGGGACTATGTTTTGTACCGAAGTAAATCTTTCTAAAATCTTGCTATTTCATAGACTTTTCTGGTAATTGTGACCTTTAGATATTCCTAACAGATTTTGGATTCACTTTTCAATATCGAATGTTTTGTGTTTGTATTATGGCCTGGATAAAAGTGTTTGTTTTTTGGAGTGAGATGCGATAGACTGTCAATATTCAATACGCTATTTAAACGCAATCGTGGATTTGTCTTGATAATATGCAATTAAAATGTAGAACGAATGAATGTGCGGTACCGCCTGATGTCTTCATTGTTGATAAAGGCCGAGTCTAACTGTCAAACGGGCAGAATAACTCATGCTTTCGTCACAATTTGAGTCCAAAATTAAGCTTTATTTGAATATCGGAGAGATGCTGGATCATCTGTGGTTTACAAAGCCAAGAATCAGCAAGGGAGAGCAGAAAAGAGAGAGGGCTGATTCTGAATGACAGCGTCTCAAAGGGCTCTTTGTTTTCATTATAAAAGAGGCATTAATTAAGGGAGGGAACAAAACAAAACAAATACAAAGCAGAAAATCATTACCACTGCCGTTACATGAAAGAAGAACGCAAGAACAGACACTACCCTCTGCTATTTGGATAAACAGCAACAAAAGCAGCAGAAAATGCATAAATTGAGTGCAGGATAAGAGAATAAGTTCTTCATGTGTGGAAAAGAGCCAGTGATTCCACAGCAGATGGGTCTGGGTGGACTAGGACTTATTTTCCTTTCACTACGTTTTATTGCATTGATGATTTTTGAAGTGGAGAATGTAATTAGTGTTGATATGTACAGCATGCATCATTTTGCTCGCTGACATTATTGGGTCTTAAAACTGGACGGTACGCAGTAAGCACTACAAGATGTAGTCTCTTATGATTTTGATTTCTAGTTATGGTGTGTTATGTTGAGTTCTTATTGTATTCAGCTTTTTGGACCCTGGTTTCTGAAAGTTTTGCTCTCAGAATTTTTCTGTTGACATTTGGAGAGCATGATGATTGTGATCTCTAGTGCAAGAGCCAATAAACAATGACAAAAAAAAAATCACGCTGAGCCATTAAAAAGACCCCCACATAAAAACAACATAACACACACCAGGACTGTTAGAGATGAAAAACTGACTATGATTACAGCAGATCAAAGTTCAATGTATAACACATGAGGCTTGTTCTGTAATAAACCATAATTAACCATTTAATATACATATATGCCAACAAACTTACAGCTAAATATTAAAGAACTTACATTTAATACACAATATTTGCAGTTACTTTGTCTGTTTGTGATCCACCAATGAACATCTCCGAGCAGAAGGTTCTTTAATGAATTAGTGCTTTTGAACAATTGGGTTGAGTAATTGATTCAATGACTCACTTAGAAATACAGTCACCTGTTTCACTGAATAAATGAATCATTCACTTTGAACAAATCAGTTGAATGAATCATTTAATGACTTACTCATAATGATTTCATTTGTAGCCACCTACTGGTGTACTCAAGTATTATTTTTGCTGGAAATGTATACAAAAAATTATGATAATAAATTTTTAAATATATAGGCATTTAAAATATTTTATTATTTGTTTTAAAAATATTAAAAGAGTTTGAATAGGTAAAGAAGATATGTTTAAAAAGAAATGGTCAAAATTTAATGAGTTTTTTGAAGATTACTTTAATTTAGTTTTCACTTAATTAATAAATAAGTATATAATTGATTTATTAGATGAATTAATACTATATATTTTTTATTTGTACGTTTAAATGCATGATGTTTGAGAAATTAAGGAATTGTGTGCTTTTACCTGAAATTAATCTTTATTTATTAATTTAATTTTCTTTTTATTTATTGATCTATTTTATTTAGTCGAATGATTCGGTTGAGTAATTGATTCAATGACTCACTTATAAATACAGTCACCTGTTTTGCTGAATGAATGAATCTGTGTCTTTGAACAAATCGGCTGAATGAAGGATTCAGTGACTCACTAATAAAGGAATTTGTCGCCACCTACTGCCGCAACTAGAAACACACACACACACACACACACACAAATTAAAAAAATAAAATAAATAAATCCCCACCAGGAAGAAACAGACTGACAGTCTGTCTGAATCATAAACAGAATGAAAAGTCCCAGTGCTTCAGCCTATCAAATTCAAGGACTGGAACTAACTGCTGTAAGCTGCAATCTATTATAAATGTTAGTGATACGGGAGGCATATATCCAAGACATAATGTGTCTGACAACTTGGACAGCAAACATGCATCTTCTAAACGAGCAACAGAAGTTGCACAAGTCAGAATAACATGTTAGGGTCAAAATTCATGTTCTTTGATGTCAATAAATATTCAAAACAAGGCTTTTTGTGTAGTGAGTGGTGTGTGTGATTGGCAGCTGCTGCGATGCTCTCAGAGTCTTTACCTTCCTGGATCAGGCTGATGAAGTAAATAGGATGACCAGTGCTTGAGCGACTCCACCCTAATTTAATGATTTCCTGCTGGGCTGCAAACAGCCTCCTGCTGTGTCTGTGTGAGTTAGTGTCTCCCAACTTCACTCGCTCAGCCCGGACGCCAATGACAACAAGCAGCCAGACAGAACCAACATTGACTTACCCACAATTCCACAGGGCAGTGGAGCCAGGCTGATGGGGAAGAAAGGCAGTGGAATGCATCAGGTCAGGCAACGGTGTCTGACAAACCCCTTCAACACACACAAACACACACACACACACACACACACACACACACACACACACACACA